AGGAAAATTTGCTTTCTTAGAATCTAAATTTACAACATCAATAATCACATTACCCTCGTAATTTCCTTTATTTTATTTTTTACATATATATTTTTAAAAATAAATTTATTTATTTATTTTTGGCTGCATTGGGTCTTCGTTGCTGCGCGCGGGCTTTCTCTAGTTGCGGCGGGCGGGGGCTACTCTTTTTTTTTTTTTTTTTTTTTTGCGGTACGTGGGCCTCTCACTGCTGTGGCCTCTCCCGTTGCGGAGCACAGGCTCCAGACGCGCAGGCTCAACGGCCATGGCTCACGGGCCTAGCCGCTCCGTGGCATGTGGGATCTTCCCGGACTGGGTCACGAACCCGTGTCCCCTGCATCGGCAGGTGGACTCTTAACCACTGCGCCACCAGGGAAGCCCGAGGGCTACTCTTCATTGCGGTGCGCAGGCTTCTCATTGCAGTGGCTTCTCTTGTTGCGGAGCACGGGCTCTAGGCGCGCGGGCTTCAGTAGTTGTGGCACACAGACTCAATAGTTGTGGCTCGCGGGCTCTAGAGCACAGGCTCAGTAGTTGTGGCGCATTGGCTTAGTTGCTCTGCGGCATGTGGGATCTTCCCAGACCAGGGCTCGAACCCGTGTCCCCTGCATTGGCAGGCAGATTCTTAACCACTGCGCCACAAGGGGAGTCCTTCGTAATTTTCTTTAAATAGCCCCTCAGTGCATGTGAAGTATGTGTTAATACACACATACTCTTTCAGCATCCCAATCACTGAATAGAAAGAGCAGACTGAATGCATTTTTGAGGGTCTCCTCGGAGCCAAGATCAACATGGCCTATCTTATTTAATCTCATTAACCTGACAAGGTAGATGGCATTATTATTATTATTATTAGAGAAAACAACAGTTAACTAACCTTATAGTGCTGGGTATGTGCCAAGTACTCTTTAAACACTTTATATCTAAGATAACCCATTTGGGGAATTCCCTGGCGATCCAGTGGTTGGGACTCTGTGCTTTCATTACTGAGGGCCCGGGTTCAATCCCTGGTCAGGCAACTAGGATTCCGCAATCTGCCTATTTCATTTCCCCAGCAACCCTGTGAGGTGGCTGCGTGTGTTGACCTCATTTTAGGGATGCGGACACTGAGGGTAGGAGGTGATCCGAGGTCACGCAGCTGGGATGTGTTGGAGCCGGGTTTTGAGCTGTTAGTCTGACTTGAGCCTGGCTCTTCTCTGCTACCTCCCATTGCCCCTCTGGGAAATGGACTTAAGATCACAGCACTTGTAGGTGGCAGAGCTCAGAGGAAACTCAGACCTTCCGAGTCCAAGGCCACTTAGTGCCCTTTCCCTACTTCCCAAGTACTGTCTTTGTCAGGGGACATGTTTAGTGAGTGAAGCCGCCCACCATTACCGGGGTCATCTCCGCCAGCCCTGGTCTTCAGCACGGCTGGAAGGGTGATGAGGCCAGCCAGGCAGTCTGGGAGGGCCAGTGCACGTGTGCTGCTCACCACACCTGGAGCCCTGGGGCTGGGTGCTCCAGGCAGGTCTGAGGTGGAGTGGGGATCCCCTTCTCTCTGTTCCAGGCTGGCTCTGAGGGTGTTGTGCCTGGCCCAGCGCCAGTATTCCCTGCTCCAAGCAGCCAACCTCCTGACCCCTGACATGATCGCAGAATTCGAGATGCTGCAGCAGCTGGTACAAGAGGAAAACACTGAGCCTGGAGCAGAGGCCACCGCGGAGCCTGACCCGGCCAGGGGGCCACCTCTGGCTCAGGAGCTACGTTCAGAGTCAAGTGAGTCTCAGCCCTGCTCGGCCTCTGTCTTCTGGTGCCAAGGGGTGGCTGGGGCCCCAGGTGCAGGGTTATAGTTCGGTCAGAGACTGGACCCCTAGGATCATGGACTTCTGCACAGAGAGGCCCCAGGGGTCACGCAGACCCGAGGAGTCAGGGGCTCCTGCCTGTCCGGTGTCTCTCTTCCCCAATTCTACACATTCTTCCTTCTGGCCAATCCCTGATCTCCCCTCAGCACCCTCCTCTCTGCCCAGAGTCTCCAGGATACTCCGGCCCTGTGACCCGGACCATGGCAAAGCAACTGAATGGCCTCATACACGCTCTCGGCGTCCCACCCGGGCCTGACCGCACCTCAGCTCAGGCATCCCAGCGGCCCACAGAGAAGAAAAGGAGGAGACCGAGCCCCTTGGAGCCAGACAGCCCCCCAGACCCGAAGCCCGGGACCAAGCGCCGGCGCCAGTCCCTCCTGCCCTGCCCGAGGAGGGGGACCCCGCCTGAGGCTCGGCTTCCGTGTGGGCCCATCACCCCCACGGGGGGACGGGCCTCCTCCCCCCCCCATTCCCCCAACTTCTGCCCAGCCACAGTCATCAAAAGCCGGGTGCCCCTGGGCCCTTCCGCTCTGCAGAACTGCTCTACCCCTCTGGCCCTGCCTGCACGGGACCTCAACGCCACCTTTGATCTCTCTGAGGAGACCCCCTCAAAGCTGGGCTTCCACGAATGCATTGGCTGGGACAGTGTCCCCCGGGAGCTGAACAGGCTGGATCAGCCCTTCATCCCCAGGTGGGTCTCCCTTCTGGCCTCCCAGCAGGGGGTCAGGGGCCACAAGGGACAGAGGTGCTGCCCAGGGGAACGGAAGACAGCACGCTCTTGGAATTGGGACACTGCATCTCCTTCCCTTTGGTCTGACCAGCATCCAGGCCCAGAAGAGCAGAACGCGCCGTCTCTTTGGAGGCGTCGCTCCTCTCCAGGCCCTGCCTTGTCCATCTATACTTCAAAGCCGCCAGCTCTGTGCTGGTTTGTCACATGCCCCTGAGCAGCTCACAGGCGCCCCCTATGGGGAGGGTCAGCGGGGAGGAGGAACTAACACGGGGTGCCTGGCCCACTCTGTTCCTTGGCATAACCTGGGCCTGGTCTGAGTTCTGTATCCCACTGAGAAATACCTGTTTCTACCACTTCCACCCCAGACTTTACCCTCCAGCCCAGCATCTGGAACTGGGAAGGGGATCCTGAGAAAACTTTCTTCAGCATTTTTCAGTGGGAAGATGCTCTCACCCTCGGCTTCTGCCCGCGTGGCAGGGAGGGGGGAGCAGCGACCAGCTCAGGACGGTCCAAGGCCGTGAACAAGCAGCAGACTGACCTGGACTCGGGAGGCCGAGGGTGGCAGGCTGCCCACTGCTCCCCCCACCTCTCCCACAGCCCAAACCCCCTCTCAGTAACAAGCTCAGAGCCAGGCAGGTGGAAGGGTGAAACTGTCTGAACTCCAGTTCCCCGGACGTGCCAGAAACTGACACCTGGATGTTCTCCCAGAGCAGGCCTGTCGCTCAGCTGTCAGCCCAGACCGAGTGAGGCAGGGAGGGGAGTCCACCTCTTAGGAGGAAGAAACTGCAGAGGTCACCTTGTCTAACCTCCCTGCCCCGCACGCCGGGCGCCGGAGCGGGAGGTGCTGGCACTCTTCTCTGGTTCCCTCCTGATGTGCCACCTTCATCCTCCTCCCTCCCCAGCGGACCCAGGCCCCTGTTCACCGTGAAGGGCCCCAAGCCGGCAACTTCCTTCCCTGGGACCTCAGCTCGCAAGAAGAGGCGCGTTGTGAGGTGAGGCTGGGGAGGTGTGGGCAGAGGAGAAGAAGGAGCTGTCACCAGGGCAGCAGGCGCCTGGGCCAACTACAGCTGGTCCTCTGGCAGGACCAGCGTCTGGTTGTCTGAGGTTCCCTGGGCTCTTGCTATTACAGGATTATATTAGAGATGTCTCCCTCCTTTGGTAAAGGCCACAGACCCTCTCTCCACGAGGGGGACATTCAGTGTTCACTGGGTAATCCAGGGAGTGGACTACCCACCCCCCTCACCTCTACTTCCCTCCCAAACCGCACTCAGCTCCCCTCCCCTCTGCTGCCTCTCCCACCCTCAGGTCTGGCCTTGGCCAAGTGCTTCCTACTGTTGCTCAGCCTCCCCCCACTCCCAAGGCTCCGTGTCTAGCTCTTACCCTCCCACCCCCACCGCTCCCCCCCCATAGTCCAGAGGCTTGGCCGTGACCTTCCTCCCTTCTTCCTTCCTTCCCTCCCGCAGTTCCCGCGGCCACAGTCGCATCGCCCGCCTCCCCAGCAGCACCTTGAAGAGGTCAGCTGGGCCCCTGGCAATCCCAGGTGACTGGTATTTGGGGGCAGGGATGCTCTGGGTCAGAGTGGCAGATGGGGACAAGAAGTAGGAGGGGAGGGAGTTCCCTGGCGGTCCAGTGGTTAAGACTCGGCGCGTTCACTGCGGTGGCCCAGGTTCCATCACTGGTCAGGGAAGTAAGACCTCGCAAGCCGCCAAAAAAAAAAATGTAGGCGGGGACAGGCGAGAGGAGGGCATGGGGTACTTCCGAGCATCACAGGGACCCTGGTGAGAGAAATGGGGGATGGGGTGGGGGAAGGGAACGGTGGGATACAGCCTCACTTTTCTCCTTCCTCCCTGCGTCCCCTCATCTAACTGGCCTGCAGAGCCCCCCTCCAGTCTCCACTCCCCTGGCAACCAGAGGAGCCAGAAGGAACTGTTGAGGGTTGGGAGAGCGCTGTCAGCTGGGAGCTGCTCCGCCAAGGTGTCCTGACCGCCGGCCCCTGTTGGTCCCTGGAGCCGCCTAAACCAGGAGCCCTGACCTGCCTTCCTCGGCTCGGAGCAATTAATGCCAACACCCTCTTCCTTTACTAACAGTCCTCCCCCAGACGTTCATTCTGCTGCTCACCCTCTTTATTAATCTCTTGTTACACTCAGCTTCTCAGCGTGTACTTACTCATTTGTGAGTTTTAACGTGTTGCTATTTTAAAGGGTGCTGCCATCATTCCCCCCTGGTTTATAACACCCTCCATGCAGGAAGGTGGCTTTTGGGGGCCTTGTTGCCCACCCCCCATCTAACACAGGGCTCTGCACAGTGATGCCCGCTGTGCAGTTGAGGAGGGGTGGGCATGGGATGGGGGCATGAGGGAGTCCCAGCTTGGCTCTTCCTGGCTTTGAGAGGAAGGCGTCTTCAGCCCCATCCCCCCAGCCTGGAGTAAGAGCCCCAACCCCATGCCACAGTCCTGGCGATGATGCAGATGATGGTGGTGCCTTGATTTCCAAATGAAGAGAGTTTATCGTTTTTACCCTATTGTAAACAGGATACACACTCAGTGTAAGAAGAAGTGTAAACATTAATGCTACCACCTAGACGTAAGAGCTGTTAATACTTGGGTTTATATCTGCTGATCCTTCAGTTCTGCATGTATATATATATATATATATATATATATATATATAGTTTTTTAATTATAATGACTAATAAACCACCTCCATCCTTGGTGTGTGTTTCTCTCTGTACACCTAGGTAGGATAGCAACCCCTTCCTCCTCTTCAAGAAACTTCTGAGTATAAAAAACATGCCCCCTCTGCCTCCTCCTTCAGCCTTACAGGTGGGCCCTGTCCCTTACTCCGCAGCCCCACCTTCTGCTAAGGGCCCCTGCTCCTTAGCAGGTGAAGAAGCTATCACCCCTGGAGGCCTGGTCCATCCTCCTACAGCCTGCGTGTGGTGGGTTGCCAGGAGTCCTGTCGTCAGAGAGAGCATCTTAGTGGTCCCCAGGTCTTACAAGGCTCCAGGCTGAGCCTCCACCTGCTGGAACCCATTGCAATCTTCCTCCCACAGCTTCGAAAGCTCCCCTCCACCCCCATTCGTGGCTTTCCTCTCCACTCATTCGGATTGTGACAGTTCAACCCAAGCCTACCTCTTTTTCCCCAGGAAGACGTGGCTGGCTGCATGAACGAATGGCATAACCAAAATTCCAGGAGTCTGTGTTTAAATTGCTTCTGAAAACAAACACGTAAAAGGCATTTAGCACTTTGTGAGTAGTGTGTAAACAATGTCGCTAATTTCAAGTGAGGCCTCTGCTGCTCTGGGCAAGCAACCTCCCCCTCTACCTGGGGCACCCCTCCCCGCTCAGTTTCCATGCCTTTTTGGAGGAGTGGAGAGCACAGAGGGGAGCGCCGCATTCCTACCGGCTGCAGGCATCTCACACGACTTCACGACCTTATGAGGTATAATGAGGAAATAGACAAAAAGGTTAACAAAATGTGCCCGGAGTTAAGACGGCAAGTGGCAGCGCCAGGACTCAGACCAGGATCTGGTCGCACACGTGACACCAAGCTGCTTCTGTTTAGAAGTGAACAGACATCGTTTCTTTCCGCGTGCCGGGAATTTCCTCCTCTCCAATTAGTCTTCATGAGTTTCCTTCCCCTGGGTACCATGATCCCCACAGAAGCAGTCACCGCCTCACATCTGTAGCCCCCAACGGCTTGGTGTGGTACCTTTGACCTCAGGAGACCTCGCCGCATGCTGGTTGGATCCAAATTGAATAAGTTCCTCATTTCCTGGGGCCCTCACATCTATTATCTCATTTGATCGTCACCATCACCCCTGCAGGCGCAGAGGCAGCAGGCACAGGGCAAGGTGGCTGGTAACCAGGGCCAGGAGGGCAAGCTTCACCCAACAGGCTCCGTTGCACGAGGGCTGGGGGCAGCTTGCAAGGGGAAGAGGTCACTCTTGACAAGGATGTTCTGCAGCTGACCATTCGCTCAGCAAACATTTGTGGCTCCGTGGTGCAAAATGTGCTCTCGGGTGACCCATTAAATGTACAAAGACTCTGCCAATGGAGTTAAGCACACGTGGCTCCTGCCCTCAATCACGGGAGGTTGGGCTGAGATGGGCCGCTCACAAGGAGGCAGCCTGGCTGGTCCAGGGAGCTGGCAGGGGCTGAGGGGGGCAGCGAGCTGACGGCCGGCTCCCAGCTGACCTCCGTGGGCAGTGATGAGGCTCTGAGATTGGATTGTTCTCATATAGAGTCATCCGCCAGAGGCGGCAATAGATGGCTCCCCCGTCCACTGCCCTAGGTTCCCCCTCCCGGCTTCAGCCTGCCTCTTCCGCCTTGAGGGCCTACGCAGAGCCCCTCCCTCTACTTCAGGGAGTTTAGACGTCCTCTCTTCCCAGGCTCTTTGCACCCACTCCAGGCCCCGAAGCTCAGGTCTGGGCCCCACACCGGGGGCACAAATTCCTGCCCAGTTCAGAGAATCAGGCTCAGTGCCAGGAGCTGCAGACACAGAACAAGACATGGTCCCTTCACACAGAGTCAGGATGGAGTCCTTGTCACCTGAGAGTAAACCAAACCTCCGTCAGTGTTAGGATGTGTCAAGAGGAAGGGACTGGGCTTTTCCCACTGGGTCCTCCCACCGCCAGCCATCAGCTTGGCACCCACAGGGGACATCCTCACCCCATGGGGATCCTTCCTCCCTGGCAGCTGCTAACTCAGGCATCCTGCCTCCCAGACCCTTGCTCATCTGCCTCCAGTTTCCCCCAGAATGTCTCTTTGGCTCTTGGCTAGGTTTGGGGGATCCTGCTTCCCAGACAGTCTAATTTCTGGCTATCTTCCCCTTCTCCACAGTTCTTTTGTGAATAGGGACCTAGAAAGTCTTGGGATGGAGTTTGTGGGTGGAGGAAGGGACCAGAGTCGTACCCAAGAGCCTGGAGACCATGGCTGTGTTTTCTAGCTCACCCCAGAGCTCCCCTGGGCTCACCCGCAGCCCTACCCCCGGCTCATCCTGCCCATTTGAAGGACCACTGGATTGGAAATAACAGGCCACCGGTCAGCCCTCTCCTCCCTCCAGGGACACATCTGGTCCCCGCCTCTCACCCTCCCAAAGGGACACAGTCAGGCAGGGAGACAGAAGGGAGCAGGGAGCAGAGCAGACCAAGGAAAGCAATTAAAGAGCTGGTCTCAGGGTTAGAGGCCGGGGGCAGGCTTGAGCGGCCCTTGGCTGGGTGGGGAGGCAGGAGTAGAGCAAGGCCCCGAGCTTATTAACCCCAACACAGCAGCCTGGCCCCTGGGTCTGTGAAGGTGAATGAGCTGATGCCTCCAGCGGCTGAGGGGCTGGGGAAGCGAAGGGGAAGGAGTCCAGGGGTTCAGCCAGGAGCCCTTCTGCAGCCACAGGAGTCGGGCGCTTCTAGCCGACAGAGCTGGATGGACACAGGCTCAGGACCGGAGAAGGAACCATCCCTGGCTGGAGGCAGCCATCCTCCAACCGTCCTCCAACAGAAAGGGGAGACCCCTGCGCTCAGGGAGCTCCCAGCTGACAGTGAACCATGGGTTCTCCCATTAGCTGGCTCCCATCCAAGGGGAAAGGGCAGCTCCTGTCCTGTGGGTGCCTGAGTCTGAAGGGGGAGACAGACCATACCCTTAGGTGCATCCCAGTCTGATGGGAAAACATAGGTCTAGCATCGGGAGGACCCCATCTTCAGGGGGTCTTGTCCTTGGGAAGCCTCAGGCTAAAGTGCAGAAGAGACTCGCACCCATGGGAGATGTTGACACACCAAGGGGTTCTCAAGCCAATGGAGCTGTGGGTCTCAAGCCCACAAGGGCTGGGGAAGGGCAAGGATGGAGCGACAGAGCCCACTGTGGGAGTCAGGGAGGAGAGCAAGCAGGCTGGGAGACAGCCTGTACTCTGAGTCTCCTCCAGAACAGGGGGACATAACTCTCACATGTCCCCTGGGAGACCCAAAGCCACAAACAACTAGTGATCTGGGGGCAAAGGGTGCTGCCCCCTCCCCACATCCTGTCCACATTGCCAGGTAACTGCCCTTTGCAGGGGGGGCCTGCCCACATGCTGTCCCTGCCCCAACCCCAATGGAGTCAACAGGACATGGCCGCTCCCCTGGAAGACCCAGCTCCCAGCCCCCCAGGTCCACCCCATCACAGATGCGCTAACATGGAAACAGGTGAAGCACCTGGCAGGTGTTATTAAATGGAAGCTAGGATTTGTCGAGCACCTGCTGTGTCCGGCTTTTCACTGATTTTTATCTCACAACTACCTTGGAAGTAAATATGTCTAGACCTCATTTTACAGATGGGGAAATGGAGACTCAGAGAAGGTTCCTGAGTCATCCAAGATCATACAGCTATTGAGTGGCCATGGCCTTGCTCTCTCCCCTAGACAGCACTGCCACAGCAGTCAGAGGCAGTTCTAGTGAGCCTTCTAAGTGACGCACATTTGGGTTTTAGAAAGCCTGCCTAGAGCTGTGAGACCAACTTTCTTCCTGCCTCCAAAGGGCTATGTCCACCAGGCCACTCGGACCTGGTCAGCTCAGCACTGCCATCTAGTGGCCAGTTTCCTTCCTCAGAGATGGGTCACTGAGCGGACGGACTGGTCAGAGATCCATGTTCTCTCCATCCCACTCATTCTTGTTGATCACCGTGCTGTGCCAGGCACTGGGAGAGTGGCAGGAGCACAAGCGGAGTCAGTGGGCAGCAGTCAAGGGACAAAAGGGCCCCTTGAATTAGAGGCTGGCAGGTTTGGAAAACACTGGGCACCTTGCGTGCAGGTTGAGGCCGGGTGACGTGTTGATCTATCCTGGGATCAACTTGGGCCTTGTAGGCAGGAGGGCATCCTGGCAAGTTCTGACGTAGAAGATGGGCACAGGGAGTGGGAGGTCATCTTGTCCCCAACTCGGCTTGCAGTGGGGCGCAGCTTGGCCGAAGGCCGTGTGGAAGGGTGTCCAGGCATCCTCTTCTTGGGACCCGCAGCGTTCTGCCGTCTAGTCCGGAAGTCAGTCTAGGAACTGGCCCAAGGCTTTGGATGATGAGGCCCTCAGATTGGGGAAGCAGGAGAGGAGGCGCCACAGAGAATGGGGCCTGAGTCAGGCTGGGAGGAGGCGGGTAGAGGTGGAGGCCGGGAGCTGTGTCTGCCTGAGGCAGATGTGCATCACGGTGTGACCTAGAACAGAGGGAGAGGGGACATAACTGTCCAACAACAGGGCTTGGTTACATTAATGCACATAATGGAAAACCATGCAACTGTTAAAATGATGATGTAGATAAATATTTACTGATATGGAAAGATGTTCACAACATATTGTCTAGTAAAAAAAAGCAAGTTACAAAATAATTTGTACAGCATGAGCCTACTTTTAAAAACTGAATTTATATGTGTAGAAAAAAATCCGGTAATGTTTATAACTCCGGGTGGCAAAATTATAGCTAATTAAATTTTGTTTTGCTTATCTGTATTTGCTGATTTTTCTACAATGAAGGTATAATAAAAAATAATGAAGGTTTGACAAACAACCATGACTGAGTCTATCTATTTCTTTCCTTCACTGTGTGGACAACTTCAGATAGTTAAGGGCTGAGTGTGGAGCTGGGTCTGAAGGTTGGATGGGAGTTGAAGATGGAGGGAGCGGACCTGGGTGGGTGACAGGGGCCCAGCAAGTGGCTGAAGGGGTTAAAGAGGGGGTCTCATCTGCTGCTGCTGAAACGAGCTGAGCCCCTGTCTCCCAGACACAATTACTGAGAGTCCCTGACAAGCCCTTCCTGCTCTATTACATCTTTTCCCTCCAGTTCCTCTTTGCACTCATTTCAACTAGATTTCACTTGTACAAAGAGAGAAGGCCACACACTGTGACTTGCCCTGCAAGCTGGAAGGGCAGCCTCTCCAAGCCACGGAGAGGAGTTGGGGCAAGGGTTTGTCCCCAGTCTTGTTCTTCCTTTAATGTCACTCCCCGCCCCCATCCTTCCCCGGCCCCTCAACCCACAGCAGGATCAAGTGACTGGGTGCCCCCTCCTCAAGATTCAAGATTCCCCTCCCCATGATACTGCTCAGGCCCAGGGTCAGACTCTGCTAAAGAATTAGGGATTCTCACCTCCTCTCTCTGCTTGGGACTCACGGGGAAATCTTGGCGAGCAGCCTGTAACCTGCCCGAAAGAAAAGCATCTCCCCTGGCGTGGACGAGGGGGCATTGCCCAGACAGGAGCTCAGGGGCTGCGCTGGCTCTGACAGCTGGGGAGGAGGCAAGTAGCCAGACCCTGTCTGCAGAGCTGGAGACCTGGCAGTGCTGCGCTACCCCCAGGGCTTCCCCTTGTGCCCACTGAATGACTCACCTTGGCACAAACACAATGGTCAGGGGTGGGCACAGAGCCTGCTCCCTGCTGCACCCCAGCCCCCATCAGATGCTTTCCGAGAAGCTCTTTGAGCAAGGGGCTTGGGCTGCACCCCACCCAACAGGCTGGCATCTTGGGATAAAAACAGCACAGCCCCCTGCAAGGGCTGCCCTTGCCACGCGACACCCTCACCGGCAGTGGAGAACAAGGCTCCATTCAGCAAGTGCTCGGGAAAAGGCATCAGAGGCCCAGGCGTGGGCAGTGGGCAGTGGGGCGGTGCGGGGGGGGCAGGAGAGGAAGGCCGCCCACTTCCCAGAAGTCCAGGGACACAGATGGGTGAAGGGCCTGGGCAGGGTACTGACCCCGGGGAACCAGATAGAAGGTGTGATTGGATCTGAAATCTCAAGGGGCAACAGGGCCCAGGCCCCAGGCTCCCAGTTCAAACCCACCGGCTCCTAGGTTCCCAAACCCACTGATTCCCCAGAAGCCTTTCCCAGCTTCTCAGCTCGATGCGTGGGAACTTGAAGGAGATAAATCTCCAGTGTGAGAGTGAGGTGGCCAGGGAAACGGGGTGTTACAGGAACAAAGATGGGAGTTGGGACAGCCAGCTCATTCATAAGTGCTTTGTGGAGCTGTCAAGGCCTGCGCTCTGGGAGGGGGTGTGGGGAGGCTGGGCAAGGAAGGGGTGAGCCCGATGAGGCTGAGGCTGGGGCTTAAGGGTGACCCAGGGGGAGGGCCAGAGAGTACAGCGCCTGCCCCCACTTACCCTGTAAGGGGCTCCACGTTCCTTCCATCATTCCCCCACTGCTAGACATAGGCCTCAATTGACTGACCCTCCAGACAAAGGGCGGGTTCTAATTCCGGCCCACAGCCCCGCACCTGCAGATGGGGAGAAAGCAGGAATGCAGAACACCTGTATTCAGAGGGGAGGACTCCAGGAATCTGTTGGGAATGAGGCTGGCAGGAAACTGTAACATAGGCTGTTCCTTGAAGATGTGGAACAGGTTTGTCTTCCACCAGATTCCCAGCATCTAACAGGCACTCAGTGTGCCTGAGAATGCTGAGTGAGGAAAGGCCTGGGTCATAGGATCTAAAAGTTAGAAGACAGGTCAGAGGTCATCTGGTCCAGCCCTTCCTTGACCCACCGTCCCAGTGAAAGGGTCTCCTTGTCCAGTGGTCAGGGCCCCAGACGCAGCATCGGCCCCAGGAACTGCCCACTAGCACCTCTGTCTGGAGCCAGGCTGGGGCTGGCATGCTCAGGAGGCCCTGTCTCTGGGCACAGTGACCTCGGTGGGCATGAGAGGCACTCTCCCCATGGCTGGGCTGCGGCCCAGCCCCACCCACTTAGGCTATGCCAGGGGGTGTTGCCAGGGGCAGCCTGGGCCGGGCCAGGCCAGGTCCTCCTCCATAAAGCCAGCACATCCCAGGAGCAGGCAGAGCCAGGACAGGATGGAGAGGAGACGGGTCACCTCAGTGGCTCGCCGCTCCTATGTCTCCTCCTCAGAGATGGGGGTGGGGGGCCGCCGCCTGGGTCCTGGCACCCGCCTGTCCCTGGCTCGAATGCCGCCTGCACTCCCGGCCCGGGTGGACTTCTCCTTGGCCGGGGCGCTCAACTCCAGCTTCAAGGAGACCCGGGCCAGTGAGCGGGCGGAGATGATGGAGCTCAATGACCGCTTCGCCAGCTACATCGAGAAGGTGCGCTTCCTGGAACAGCAGAACAAGGCGCTGGCTGCCGAGCTGAACCAGCTGCGGGCCAAGGAGCCCACCAAGCTTGCCGACGTCTACCAGGTGGAGCTGCGCGAGCTGCGGCTGCGGCTTGACCAACTTACCGCCAACAGCGCCCGGCTCGAGGTGGAGAGGGACAATCTGGCGCAGGACCTGGGCACCCTGAGGCAGAAGTGAGGAGGGGGCCGCAGAGGGGCGTCACGAACAGGGAGCACTGAGCCGCCCCCCACCCCCAGAGAGGGAGCACCTGCAGACCTGCAGGGTCTCGGGCAGGGGCTCTGCCTCCCTGCTCCCCAGTTTCCCACCTCTGGGAGGAGAGGGTGGCCCTTGCTCCCCAAGATGAGGGTGGGCCTGGGAGGAAGCCCAGGATCTCAGGGATCGGATTCCCAAAGACCTTCAGGTACTCTCAGCGCCTCCCCGCTGGGGAAAGCTGTGTGGGACAGTCAGGGACCCCCAGCGGGGAGGGTCTCTGCGTCTCACTCACTGCAGGGCCTTGTTACTGCGGTCGGGGAGCGCACCTATTCTGAGCCTGGGTCTGTCTAGAGGGGGAACCGGAAGGGAAGATTGGTATGTACCAGGAGGACTGGGCTGGGGCTACAGGAAGAGAGGGAAAGAGCAGGCAGAATACTGGCTTCAGAATACAGGAGACTCTGCCTGTCACCAGCTTATGACCCTAGTCAAGACACTTCAACTTGCACAGCTGTAAAGCGGAGATCTTAATAAAACCCATTTCCAAAGGTCAGAGGAAACCCCAGGGGCATGGTCCTTGCTGGGCTGGCAGGGCATGCCTGTGTGACTTCAAGTGCGGGAGGCCGTGTGTGTGTGTGTGTGTGTGTGTGTGTGTGTGTGTGGTGTGTGTGTGTGGTGTGTGTGGTGTGT